ATATATATTAGTATATAAAGTGTTTGTTGTAGTTGTTTTTGGTGTTTTTCAGTTGTTTCCTTAATGCAAATGTAAAGTAATTTTTGTGTACTCATTAATTTGTGTAAATAATCTGTAAGATTAAAAAAAAGCCCAGAAGAAGCTGCTGAGTGCATTCTCCTTATATTATCTAGTGTGCAATGATTTCTTGTACAACATGCATTACACTGTTATCCGCAGTCTTCCCATTGTCCGCATCTGAGAGTTCCAGGGAGGCAAGTTGTGATTAGTTGCTGTGAATAACTATAAAATTCACTTTAATCTAGTTAACGCTGTTTATTACATTTGGGCCCTTGTGCACTGACTTCCACTAATGTTAGACAAGTTAAACTTATTTTCTGTTATCCTTTCACAGCAATGTGTAGAAATAACATTTATTTTCACATTCTGAGCATGGTGTGTGCGTGTGGGGTTGATCCATGGCATCAATATTCCATATCCATCTCCATTCTTCACATGAAGATCGAGGCAACTCATGGGAACAACATCTTTTGTCACTGTTTTCAAAGTTGATCCATGGCATCAATATTCCATTACATATTAGCCCTCTCAAACACTTCTTTTTCCAGGACAGATGGCTGAGAAGCAAAACAGTTGCGGAATATTGTTGGTAATATATAAAGCACCATTTTCGGCCTGTCTGTTCTGTATCTAGGAGGTATAACTTTCACTAGCTGTGGAGACAAGTCAATTTCTCACTCCTCCAGATAGTTATCTGTTTTTATTTGATTCTCCACATGAAGATCAACCAGGCAGCTCATGGGAACAGCATCTTTGTCATGTTTTCAAATGTGATCCATATTGGTTGGAAACCATTTAGACACACATTGTGAGTGAAGATTACTGACTTCACTTATAGTTCACCCAATAACACACTGTGAAAATAATGCCAGTTTGCAGTTATGGAGTGTGCCACTAAGGAGTGTAGTTATAATCAGTAAATTCATTATAGCATAATTAGCTGCAATTCTTACTGTTTGGGTTAGCTTAAAATGGAACAAAAGTGCAAAATTATGTGTCTTATAGCATTTCCAGAAGGCCTCCCAGCTGCTGTACAGGCACAATGGAGGACCTGGGATTCTTTATGACCTATTTGCTTTATCTCTGCAATCCTAAGGCATATCTAAACCCAAATACTAACATTTGACAAATTGCAGCTTTACAACCCATATATTTGGTGGTTGCATTAGATTTCTTTTTTTTTTTTTTTTATATGTATTTTTTTGTCCCTTTTATTTTCATCTTGTGACCTGGTCGGTACGTCTCTTATTTTTCAACTTCCTTTAACAGAGCAAGCTGTTCAGAAAAAGTGGCAGCTAGAAGGTCAAAACAAATCATTTAATACTGACAGGGGCGCTTACAATGGTCAGTTTTTATTCATTAGAAGAGCTCTGTGTTTCTTTAGATGCAGCATGTCCCACTGAGGGTGGTTTGAACTGCAAGAAAAGCAATATAAATGCAGCCTTTTCATATCAAACGCTGTGTTTTCCAATGAAAATCATGCATTTTGAATAGGGCCGCAACCAACTAATCAATGATAATGAGAATATTTGTCAACTATTCTCATTATCGATTAGTTGGTTGGATCTCCTAGCTGTCTCCTCTACGCTAGAAGATGAGCACAGCAAGCAGTGGGCACTTGCAATAGCCAGCCTGCTTTTGGCTTTTGCAATTTGGAATGGTCAATAGCAGGCAGGCTATTGCACCAGCCCACTACCTGCTACATTTATTTTCAGCTGCCATCTGCAAAATCTTGCCACTGGCATGCAGTTTCATTCTGAAGTAAACTTTGTAACACTGCAATTGTGTATTTTATTTTAAAGTAAGGATGGTATTTATTTAATTTTCTTATATTTGATTAATCGGCCAACTAATCAATGATAAAAACAATACATTTGAATAGCAAACAGCGTTCTGAGTCCTGTCCTGTTATCTCCCTTCTTATTTGTTGACAGGTGCATTTTTTTAAAAACAAATAACAAAAATACAGAAAAATAAACAAAAAAAAAATGACAGATTCAAAGAGAGTCGGAGGGAGGTAGGATTGCATGGGAATAGAACTGCTCCATTACATGTATGATTTCTGGAAAAGAACACACAAATATTTCCTACAGAGAACTTCTGTGAAGGAATGACTATATCACTTCCTTCAGATGCTAGCACCCCTTCAACACTTCCCACTAATGCAGAAGAGCAGACCAAGTATGACGGCATATGGATAATATGTGACATGGATAACTTCAAGGTCAATTTCATGCATGCACAATTTTTAGAAAAATGTGAGAATTGTTTATAATCTAATATTTAAAAATAGACCCTTGCATTTAAAGAAAACATATGTCAGTCCTGTTTTAGAGGTTTAGTTTACCTTTTCACAAAAAAAATAAATGGTAAACTTGTTTACATGCAAGCAATGTTCTGTCTCATTTCGACTTGACAAAAGCGGTTTGTTAATATTATCCATGGATGGAATACTTGACGTAGATTACAGATGATATATATTATTATCCTACTTACGCATGGGTTCATAATTATTGTTAAGAGCAAATGTTTTATCTATTTGAATTCTACTAACTAATAAAACATGACATTTATATAATGTTACTAGGAATGGTGATGATGCTTAAAAATTCTATTACAGGACAGTGAAAAATGTTTTGGTTTTTTTTGTATAGATTAATACACTTTTGTAATTATTGTCATCATGTTAAATAATACCCAATGTGTTGTATTATATTAGCTCGTTATACACGCTAAATCCATTTGAACACTAGATGGTGATCTTGTTCTGCAGTGTTACGACGGTTGAAATTTGCAGCAGATGCAAGTCCATCTCTCATTCTCCACTACTTATTTCTCTTTGTTTTATACACTGCCTTCATTTGGAGCTAAGTGTTCTCAGAAATGCTGCAGTCTTGCGTTATCCCTTAAAAATGATTGCTGTTCTTGTTGCTTTTGCAGATTCCCTTGTGCAAAGTAATCCGGTTTAACATTGACTACACAATTCATTTCATTGAGGAAATGATGCCCGAGGTAAGGAAACGTGCTGGTAACCCCTTTGTTGCTGGAGTCTCGCAAGTGAAAGTCTTTGTCAGCCTCCCGACATTTAATTGATTAAACGTGGACCTGGGCAATTTTCTGTGTACACATTTTATTGCTGTTCCCCTGATATCAGAGCACTAAAGAAACAGGAATGGATTTTGTAATAAGCAGCAGAATCCGCTTCTACCACCTTCATTACAGCTTCATCCTTTGATGTCCTGCCAGCTCAGTGTTGTTGACTGTGCTAAAACCCCATCGGGATACACAGGCAGCAGGTGAATTAGAGGGTCACAACTCTACCTCTATCTCAGACATTGAGGCAGTTCATGGGCAGGACACACATATGCATTTTATTATATCAGCACCTTTTTCCAGCCGCTGCAAGTCAATAGCAAATTAACTCACTCCACTCTTTTGGTACAGTCCGTTTGTTCTTGTCTGTTTCATCTAAATGAATTAAAAAGATGACATTCAGCAGAATAAAGGGAGGATTTTGTTTAGTTTACAATGCACTGTTTGTGAATATAAAGTCTCTGCAGTGTATGAAACATCCACATATTGCCATGTTCTGGCTGTGCTTGCACGGTCCTATAACTTACCATCCATTAAAAGACATATCTGCCATATTGCATTGCTCACAATACCCTGCAGGACTGTTTTTCACATTACAGGTAATTCGTCCTTTAGGTAATAGTGCGTGGAGAGAGGGTCATTCAGAACTTGGTAATGGAAGCCACCTGTAATAGACTAAATGGCTTTAGTATTCGTGCGCCCCGGTGTTTGTTTTAGCTGCCAACCTCTTATACAAAGTTATGAATAAATACATAGGGGCAGTATTCATTATAAAAAGGCCCTGAAAGTGCGCAGTTAATCTCCAGATTGTATTAGTCTGTTCCTTTTGAAAGAAAAGAAAATTACACTCTGCCATAGCCTTGCAATATATGTTTATTGCTTTTAACATAGCTTTAGGGGAGATGACAATCTTGCTTTCTCAAATAGACATGGACAACTACAGCGCTGCGTGCAGAGTGTAATTAAAGCCTAATGAACCAAATGGTATTATATTAGCTGAATCTAATTTTCTCTTCATATTACGCTATTGCACGTTTTGTCCAAACATCATATCCTCCTCACTGCTTTTTATTGCTGGTTGCTATTTTGTTTTGCCTAATATTTAAAAAGTCTAGAATGGCATTTCTAAATAAGATGAATGCAGACTTCAAAATGATTCATTGTCTGCTATTGAATCTGTCGTAATGTTGGCAAACTAGCAATAAAGTACAGCGGGGAACCTGGTAGTCTTAACGTAGTCTTATTGTCATGCTTGGCTGCCTATGTGCGTACAGATGCTTAACAATGCATCTTTGTCGCGCTGAACATAGCAGAGGTGTATTGAGTTGAATGTAATTTGCATGGTGGGAGTTTAAAAAAAAATAAAAAATAAGCTGTTTGTTTTTAAATAAGCTTTCCTGTACTAGGTTCATAATGATCTATGGAAGCGGGGAGGCTACGATTCTCGCTAAGTAATGCTAATCTGTAGCTGAAAATGCTAGCGATCACTGGCTTGCAGCTTTTTAGTGATGGTCCATCTGCTTCTTAAATTACTGGTTACAGTTCAGGAGTTGCAGATATTTTTTTTGGCTACAGCAAACCACTGCATGCAAATGAAAACGGATAATTGCAGCATTCAGATGGAAAATATTCAGTTGGTCAGTTTGTACTTAATCAAAACAATTGATCGGATATTTTCCATCACTATTATTACTTAGTACTGATTGCATGGTGTATAGTAGCCTTTGGGCAGTAATAATAAATATTTAAAAGGAAGAGGCAATCCAGACAATTAATATGCAATGTAACCTATTAATTAAAGAAGAGATCCAGTGAATAGCCTTGTCTGTAAGGCGGTGACAGGAGTATAAATCTGTTACTGTTGTCCTAACTGTCCTGTGATCCTGAAATAAATGTTTGTATTTTTTTATTATTCCTTTTTTTTTTTTTTTTTTTAGATTTTGCTTTGAATTAAATGAAATCTTTTATATGGCAGTCACTTTTTGCATATAAGGCTGGCAATACACTATTCATCTTTTATCGCTCAACCCGATTCCCCCATTCACACGGATTCGCTAGGCTATTGTACTTTGACAGCTGATTGATTACAATCACTGTTTGGCTGTTTCTTTTTAGGCCGGCTCCTTAGACTTTGGTCCTGTCGTTGCCCCTCTGTTTCTCAACACACTGCTCAAATTTCGGCCTAGTGAGCAGGACAAAATTTGAGCGGTGCATGACCAGCTTAAAGGAGAACTATGGGGTTAAGGCTTTTCCCCATAGTTCTCCTTAGGGTAACGGGAGAACACAAACTAGCGTCCTCCCATCATCCTAAGCTCAGTATACCACGAGCTACTGCTCACGGTATACTGAGACGCCACAATTATGTCTGAATTCGTGGGGGTGGAATCCAGCCCCTCCGCTGTCATGACAGAGAGCTGTGACAGGATCGAGAGGTGAGCGAATGCCGGTATGTGTTCGCTCACTTCTTGATCTACTAAGCCGACCTGTGACAGTCTCATTATCACAAGTCGGCTAGAACTATGAGGTGAGTGAAAAGCACTCACCTCATAGTTCTCCTTTTAAGGGTAGGTGTGATAGGTATCACCACCCATTAATTTGTGAAAGTTTATCATAATTTGGAAAGTTGTATTAAGGTCAATCTGGTCTAATAAACAAGCAAGATAAAAACACAGCTGAAGTGTACCTTTGTTGGTCTTCAATTTTGTGTCTTATAGACCCAGGGCTTCAGCTTTTCTCTAGGTCAAGATTAAAGCTCACCCCCAGTTATGCAACTGTCCAACAGAAGGGAACAGGATTAAAGTGAACCTGTGTTTTGCCCACGCAGTAGGAAGTTACAGATTCCATTTAACTTTACCCCCCTCAACACCATATACTTGCCTTCCTTTTGTTCCCTTGCTGCTCTTCAGCCACCAGGAAAGTCCTGTGTAAGCTACCAGCAGGGATGTCCCAATAATAAGGCAGCCTGAGGCGGTTGCCTCATTCGGGATCGGTTTGGGTCATGTAGTGGGGGCGTGGCGTCCCACCCAGCTCCTGGCAACTAGTGTTGTCACTGGGCGGGAAGCTGGAGATGACAGTCTTTGGATTCATAGCTTACACAGGGCTATGGACTTCCAACATCACGCTTACCTGACTGTGCCAGTGCTGTCTCATGTTCCACCATACCCATAAATACTTGGTATTTCCTTCAGCTTCCTGGAAGGGGACTGTAAATCCTGAGGAGGGCTAGAGAATTAAAGCAAACCTGTTTTTTTTGCTATGAATGGGCTTGGCAACACTGATTTAAGAGGTTCCATGGAGGACAGCCCTGGCAATCGGCAGCATGAAAGCAAATGGGGGGTTTGTAAAGCTTCCATATGTATTACTGTAATACAGCCAGGCAATGTATTTGTCTTTTATCTGTGCTTTTCTTAGCATGCTAGAGAGTTAAGCCCCTGCTCACAGAGCAGAGCAGCCTGGATCTCCAGCGGTCCAATGCGTTATTGATAGCAGCACTGGGTCAGGGGCATGTTGGACCACTAAAACATCTGACCGCCGCGCTCTGTTTTGAGCAGTGGTCCAACTCTCTAGCATGCTACTCGCACAAGGTATCTTAAAGCCGTACTACAGCACAAATCTAGTACAAAAAAAAGAGAGAGAACCTATTTATTACTGTACATAAAGTCTGACTGTATTACATTAATAAATACAGAATTTAACTAGGCTTTAGGGCTGCGTTCAGCATGCATATTAATGTGTGGTATTTGACACTTTAAAGTGTTTTGCATTAAGACATCCCATTCATTTTAAATGAGCTGCCAGAGCACCACTATGCAGGTTTTAATGGACCTGCTGCATTCATTTGACAATGCGGTGTATTACAAAACACAGGTGACTCACATCTGTGCACTAAAACACATGTGCCTTGTGCGCTGGTTAAGTGCGTTGGGATGCCATTTAAAATTAACTGCATTTCAGTTAGTTTTGTGTGTTATTGAAACGCATGCTAAACTGCACATTTTACCACCTGTTACCATCTTGTGTTAGTCTAAATCACCCCGTCAGAAGTCAGCTATTCAAAACTTAGGGTGATATTGTAAAAATGAAGCACACCTTAAACAAAGCAGTATATTAAACAAAGCTAGAATTGTATATGCTGGTGTGCAGTCCACTTTGTATTCTTTTCTCACTTGCAAATGAGCAATGTCCCCCCCCCTGTTTCATCCATAATGTCTTACCGGCAGACACATAACATACATACTTGCATAACAGACATTTAAAGGATATCTAAGCCCAACAACAAAACATATTGCAACTTACTAGCTCTTTGATTTGGGTGTCGCTTTAGTTTTATTTTTTCAGGCTGCAAACATTTTCATCAAGCACAGACAAATACCTGTTGATCTTGCCTGAAATGCAGTGTTCTTGTCACTTACTGTAAGCTGAACAAAGACCAAAACAATCTTACATTTTTTTTTTTTGTAAACTACTAATACCCTCCCCTCCCCCCCCCTGCTGCCCCCATATGTGAAAATAGGAGGATATGTTTGAAGTCCAGTATGGGTGGCAACCATGGCTCCCTCCATAAATACTGTGGAGGGTGGGCGTAAGCAACCCAGGGACTGGACGTGTGTTGCAGGATTACCAGGTGAAAGAGCCTGTAAAAATAAAACTAAGACAGTCACCACATCTGATTGATGATACATTTTTCTTTTCTTGGTTTAGTTACCAGAAAGCTTTAACCTAATTGTTTAAATAGCATTTCTTGACTTTGATGGTGTAGTTGCCACAGTATTGCCAAAGTACAGCTGCCAAGACAAACCTCACTCAGTGCAGCCATTTCAACTATGTTAGCAAAGATGAATTCACTACATACATAACCCATTGTCTTTTAACATCTTTCAGTACCTAGGAACGCTGTAAGTATGTAAGATACATAACCTGTATCATGTAACTGCGTAGTTACATGATACATAACCCATACCTTTACCATCTTCCAATACATAGTTATATAGAACGTAATAACTATGTAAGATACATAACCTATTGCCTTTTACCATCTACCAGAATATAGTAACTATGTAAGATACATAACACATTGCCTATACCATCTTCCAGTATATAGTACATAGTAATTATGTAAGATACATAACCCATTGCCTTTGTCATCTTATCTTCCAGTATATAGTACATAACCCATTGCCTTTGTCATCTTCTTATCTTCCAGTATATAGTACATAGTAATTATGTAAGATACATAACCCATTGCCTTTACCATCTTCCAGTATATAGTACATTGTAATTATGTAAGATACATAACCCATTGACTTTACCATCTTCCAATACATTACATACATATGTTACTTGGTACATAGTAATTATGTAAGATATATAACCCATTGCTTCTACCATCTTCCAGTACATAGTACATAGTAATTATGTGAGATACATAACCCATACCTTTACCATCTTCCAATACATAATTGCATAGTAATTATGTAAGATACATAACTCATACCTTTTACCATATTGCAGTACATCATTACATAGTACCAATGTAAGATACATAACCCATTGCCTTTGTCATCTTCTTATCTTCCAGTATATAGTACATAACCCATTGCCTTTGTCATCTTCTTATCTTCCAGTATATAGTACATAGTAATTATGTAAGATACATAACCCATTGCCTTTACCATCTTCCAGTATATAGTACATAGTAATTATATAAGATACATAACCCATTGCCTCTACCATCTTCCAGTATATAGTACATAGTAATTATGTAAGATACATAACCCATTGCCTTTACCATCTTCCCATCTTCCAGGATATAGTACATTGTAATTATGTAAGATACATAACCCATTGCCTTTACCATCTTCCCGTATATAGTACATTGTAATTATGTAAGATACATAACCCATACCTTTACCATCTTCCAGTATATAGTACATAGTAATTATATGAGATACATAACCCATACCTTTACCATCTTCCAATACATAATTACATAGTACATAGTAATTATGTAAGATACATAACCCATACCTTTTACCATCTTGCAGTACATAATTACATAGTACCTATGTAAGATACATAACCCACTGCCTCTACCATCTTCCATCACATTATGTATTAGGCTAGTTTGACCATCTTTTTGTTAAACGTTTGGTTCTGTCCATACAGTGATACTTTACTGAGGAGGCACATTTTTAATATGGTACGTTTTATTACATATAATCTATAAAAATGGTAGCAGATGTGCTTTTACTTTTGTCATACTCCTAAAACAATAGTACACATATACATGAAAGAAAGTAATGTGAAGGTGCTAACGCTTTGCTGTTACCAGTGTCCTATATGCAGAATATCTTGCCTAACCTTATCTGTGTCAGACATATGCTAGTCATTTTTTTTAGTCACTCTATTCTCTGTTTCTTTTTCTGTCCGTAATTTAAATTCCAGAAAAGGCCCAGTTCAGTGTCCTAGAAATAAGAAACTGCAAAGCTTGGCTTTTAACGAACATATTTTCTCTAACACGAATGAAAAATTGTGCAGGTGAAAAGTGCACAGCTGTCCATAGCCAGGATATCAGAATATACTTTATGGAACTCAAATTGGCCATCGATCATTCACTTGGCACTGTCATGAATTTATTCAAACCTAACAGCTTTGTAGTTTATACTTCAGGTAGTTGTTATACAGAACTTATACTTGACAACTGGAATGCTATACATTTTATTTTTTTTGGGGGGTCACTATAGGATGTAACTAAAAGTGCCCATACACTGGTCGAATTTCAGCTGTTTTGTGAGGAACTGTCCGAAATTCGCAGTGTGTGCTGCTGTCGGCACCCTTTCATTCGACATCCCTCGATCAGCTGAACGAAGGAGCCGGTCGGAAAATCATTGATCGATCAGAGCCGGCAGTCAATGAGCTGCCTGCTCTGGTCGGGTATTCTGACGGGCCGGTGTTGGTCTATGAGTGTTTGTTTACACCCGATTACCCCGGACTCTGTCTAGGTCCGAAAACAAAAAGAAAGTTCCATTTTCGTTGACCTGATTGTGTCCGATTGGGGGTGTTCTGCTGCAAATATGCTTGCATCCGACTCCCTATAGACCTAACATGGGTCCGGTTAGCATAGGTCCCCCTCCCTCCATTGAAAGATGGAGAAAAAAACTGTATGGACACAAATGCCACAAAAGTGACATCCTTTTTGTACTTCTGCAATCAGCAGGACTCATGCACAGATTCCCTGCTGATGGGAACTGAAAATGCCCAAGTGAAAAGCGGCCTAACTAAATGAGAGTGAGTTTGCTGAAGCATTGTGTATCATAAAAAAATGACTTTCCTTTTTTAAATAAAATTATGTTTTCACCTTTTTTCCATCCTTTGTTGTCTCTCAGTGCTGCTGATCGCTTGCAGCCTCCTCCCTGCTACTTCCTTTGGTTTCATGGTATTTCTCAGGACGGATTATCTGATGGTGACAGCAGTGGCGCATGACTGCATAATATTGGGGAAATGGTCACTTGTAGTCTTAGGCCCCATTCACACTGAGCGATTTTATCGAGCGATTTTTGCAGCGATATCGCTCATATTTCCACACGGTATCGCTCTATGTAGCTTCTCCAATCCATTTCAATGGAGATGTTCACATCTCGTCGCTCAATATCGCTCAATATCGCTTGTAGCTCCTGCATGGCCCTTACAGCCCAATAGGAAAAAGTTGCGCGACACGTCGCTCAATATCGCTCAAATAAAATCGCGCAATTTTCATGTGGCTCAGTGTGAATGGGGCCTTAGACCCCATTCACACTGAGCTATATTGAGCGATTTTGAGCTGAGCTACATTGAGCTACAGTGCACATTTTGTCGCGCAACTTTTCGCAGGGACTTCGTAGCTGCTACATTGGGCTGTAACCAATCAAAGGCGGTCTTGATGTGACAATTCCTTTCTTCTTATATTTCTGTGCAAAAGTGACACTTCTGTAGCGCGACGTAGTGCGACAATGTCGCTCAACATTGAGCTACACCATTAGGCCTCACTCAACCTGCCTTACAATACGCTGCATACATGTGCGTACGCGCGCATTGTCCCATATGCAGCATATCCAAATAAATGGCTCCATACACAAAGCTGCGTATGGAGCCGTATATTTGCGTATCGTAAAAATGCGCAAAAACAGAATGGAACAGAGATGCGTCGGGCAGCGTATTTTGCGCGTACAGTTCATTAAAATTTCTAGTACGAATTATGCATTCTGGGATTGCATATAGTGCACGCATATATATGCGTATACATGCAATATACAATTTTGCTCTTGCGATGTGTGTGAATGAGGCCTTAAAGTCTATTGGGCCAAATCGCACAAAATCCGCCGAAAAATAGGGCATGTTCGAGCTACAAGCTTGAGCGATGAGCTATAGGCGACATTGAGCTGTGAGATGTGAACAGCTCCATAGAAATGGATTGGATGAGCTACATTGAGAGACATTGAGCTGACATTTGAGCGATTTTGGAGCTGAAATTGCTCAGTGCGAACGGGGTCTTAATCGGACGTCTGTGTGACAGGGTGACAAAGCAGTCGCCTTAAAACAATGTGCTAGAACGACAATCTTCTTGGCAGGATCACTAGGTATTAATTTAATGAAAGGGGCCGATTTAAAAATTGAAAATTACTTTTGATGTTACATTAACATGTTAAAGATTATATGAGAGTTTAGTATTTGGGTTTACATATACTTTAATTGAATCTCTGTTGACTTTACCTGCCTGCCCTTTGCTGTTCCCCTGTGAGGGGTTAATGGTAGTTTGGATGCTAATTAACAATCTTTTTGTTTCCTTCAGCATTTCTGTGTGAAGGGACTTGAACTGTTTTCCTCCTACCTGTTCAGGGACGTATTAGAGCTTCATGACTGGAATCTTATTGGTATGTTTCATTTACTCGGTTATACCCTGTGGGCTTCAAGTGCAGTGAACCATTTAGTTGTCTACGTGTCCAGTCTGTTTTTCATCCTTCTATATTACAGCATGTACGCACAATTATAGTGTCTGTTATTTTATTACATGTCAGAATTCCACCTACAAATATCATATATTTGGATTTTACCACCATGTGTGTAAGACCACTTGACTGGCTATTTTATCTCCATAGTAAGGTTTTGTCTCCTCTTATGTAAAGTATGGCTACAGCTAAATCTCTTTTGTCCCTGTCTTTTTTTTCTTTTCTTTTTATAGCAAATTATTGATCAGTATAAAATGTTTGTATCTTACTGAAGACGTTAATAGCAAGATGGTCTCAACTTTTATTTGGATAGAGTGCACACGGAGTCTCATGGTTATAAGGGACAGCGCATCACCAGCCAATTAGCTTAGAGGAGGAGGGAAGTGGGTTGCATGCACAGTGTGTTTGTATTGACATCCATCCATTAAGCTCTAGTGCTGGCTGCACAAAACACGGTTGCTAAGGGGACTGGCTGATGCAGGAGGAAAAGGCACTTAGAGCATCCAGAGGCAGAATAGAAAGTCTTCACTAAAGCACAGCGGTGGGCACAACTCGGCACTCCAGCTGTGGTGATACCACAGATCCCATCTGTCTATGGGAGTCATGCCTGTAGCTGTAAGAATCTTGCAGTGCCTCATGGGACTTGTAGTTCCACGACAGCTGAAGGGCTGGAGTTGCCCACCCATGCCTTAGCAAAAAAAAAAAGGTGTTAATATCCCTTTAAGGTAAGAATTGCCTATACAACGCCTAGCAAGCGGCTTTAAACCTGCGCTGGAAAATTACAGTTGAAGGATGACAGTTGGAATTCAGTCAGTGGCAAAAAGTTGTCTGGAACAGTTCTTAGCTCAGTTCAATCATACACAGTGGAAGTAATTTAGGGGTTGTGTTGATGGACTTTAGTTTGAATCAGAACTGCTTCTCTCCCCATACAAGTTTATGGAACTGCCTCTCTCCCAATATAATTGTCAGTGTGTTCTAAATGATCTTCTAAGCATCTCACACTGATACTAAAACAACAGATAACAGCCATCATGACTGGTTACTTTGAAATCAGAGGGCTATATGAAAAGAATGTGATATTTCTGTATGTGATATTTAAAAGTTAATCAGGAGTCTGCCTTGCATCCTGGGAAGCTGGAGCACTGCCAGTAAGATTTTTAGAAAGAAAAAAACGTGTTCAAATTCATGCTTGATAAACCGTTCATTCTTTTCGGATCATTGTCATTTTGTATTCCTCTACTTTTTTGTGAGTTTTAGGCCCCGTTCACATTGAGCGATTTATCCCGCGATTTTAGCAGCGATATCGCTCATATTTCCGCGCGATATCGCTCTATGTAGCTTCACCAATACATTTCAATGGAGCTGTTCACATCTCGTCGCTCAATATCGCTTGTAGCTTGTCGCTCCTACATGACCCTTTTTTAGAGCGATTTTGAGCGATATTGCTCCTGATTGCATACAGCCCAATAGGAAGAAGTCGCATGACACGTCACTCAATATCGCGCAATATCGCTCAGAGTCGCGCAATTTTCATGTCGCTCAGTGTGAATGGGGCCTTAGATAACAGATAAACACCCTTAAATTCTGCTGTAGAATTTCCACATACAGCTTCACTTTCATTTGTCCCTTAAAGCGCAGCTGAAGCCAACACTTTTTTTTTCCATTTAAGTGGAATAGCATGGAGAGGGATTAGAACAGGGATGGCCAAACTCCGGCCCTCCAGCTGTGGTGAAACTAAAAATCCCATGAAGCATCTCTCTCCGGGAGTCATGTCTGTGGCTGTGAGAATCTTGCAAAGCCTCATGGGATTCATAGTTCCACCACAGCTGGAAGGCCGCAGTTTGGCCATCCCTGGATTAGAACATCTGTCAATTTTTTGGGGGGTTTTAATTTTTGTATTGTCTGTGTCCTCATTCGGGAGATTCCCCCGCCTATTTGTCCTAATGGCCGTTTCCACTGAAAATGAATGAAAAGAAATTCCCAAATTTTGGGTTGAGATCAGATCAAGAATAGATGGGGAAATCTTCCAATGGTGACACTAGTTCTAGTGACCCTGGTCACCACCAGGGATTTTGCTCACTTTGGAGGAATTTCCTCCTGCTTCTTGCTGTGGGACAGGAAATGCCCAAGTGATCACAGCAGGTGTCAGAGACCTTCAATAGAGGAACTGTTGAAGATCATAAGTCTGGAAAGGTTACAAAAGGATTTCTAAAGGCTTGGGCCAGCACCCAGCCATGCTCAGGCAGATAGTTTACAAAGAAGAAATAGCACTGCATTGTTGCTAATATCCCTAGCAATGCATGTCCTACAGAATTCAACATAGGAGCCCACTGTATATATAACCCAGGATGATAGCCAGGAATTTGTCAGTGCCTCTTACACTTGATCATTTCTGTGTTTGCGAGTTTTCTATAACAAAGACTGCAAAGTCTGCAGAGGTTACTAGTAGGGATGCACAGATACTTTTCGAGTACCAGTGCAGATACTTGGCATTTTCATGAGAACTACAGGGGTTGCAGAGGTTTCAGCTGGGACCTGGCTCTGGCACTCCACCACTGCCCTGTCCTGAAATCATTAGTCTGTATTGTTTTAGAAAAACTGTCACATGACCATAAACAAAAATGTATCAGTACTTGTAAGTACTCGGCAAGTACCAGTACTCGTACTGTCAAAACTGGTATATGTGCATCCCTTTATTTATATTTATAAAAACAAAATCGTACATTAAAACAGAGATGTACAAATCCCAGGAGCTCCGTGTGCTCCTTACAAATGACAGCTGCCTCCTAATTTTTGAATTTTTCTCTAGTGTAGTCTTGGGGTTCAAAAGTATCGGTACATGTACTCGTACTTGTACTGAGTACTGTACTTGGTATCTGTGCAACCCTACTTACTAGAATAAAAAACTACAGCTCGGTGTGTGAATGGGGCCTTAGATAACACATAAACACCCTTAAATTCTGCTGTAGAATTTCCACATACAGCTTCACTTTCATTTGTCCCTTAAAGCGCAGCTGAAGCCAACACTTTTTTTTTCCATTTAAGTGGAATAGCATGGAGAGGGATTAGAACAGGGATGGCCAAACTCCGGCCCTCCAGCTGTGGTGAAACTAAAAATCCCATGAAGCATCTCTCTCCGGGAGTCATGTCTGTGGCTGTGAGAATCTTGCAAAGCCTCATGGGATTCATAGTTCCACCACAGCTGGAAGGCCGCAGTTTGGCCATCCCTGGATTAGAACATCTGTCAATTTTTTGGGGGGTTTTAATTTTTGTATTGTCTGTGTCCTCATTCGGGAGATTCCCCCGCCTATTTGTCCTAATGGCCGTTTCCACTGAAAATGAATGAAAAGAAATTCCCAAATTTTGGGTTGAGATCAGATCAAGAATAGATGGGGAAATCTTCCAATGGTGACACTAGTTCTAGTGACCCTGGTCACCACCAGGGATTTTGCTCACTTTGGAGGAATTTCCTCCTGCTTCTTGCTGTGGGACAGGAAATGCCCAAGTGATCACAGCAGGTGTCAGAGACCTTCAATAGAGGAACTGTTGAAGATCATAAGTCTGGAAAGGTTACAAAAGGATTTCTAAAGGCTTGGGCCAGCACCCAGCCATGCTCAGGCAGATAGTTTACAAAGAAGAAATAGCACTGCATTGTTGCTAATATCCCTAGCAATGCATGTCCTACAGAATTCAACATAGGAGCCCACTGTATATATAACCCAGGATGATAGCCAGGAATTTGTCAGTGCCTCTTACACTTGATCATTTCTGTGTTTGCGAGTTTTCTATAACAACGACTGCAAAGTCTGCAGAGGTTACTAGTAGGGATGCACAGATACTTTTCGAGTACCAGTGCAGATACTTGGCATTTTCATGAGAACTACAGGGGTTGCAGAGGTTTCAGCTGGGACCTGGCTCTGGCACTCCACCACTGCCCTGTCCTGAAATCATTAGTCTGTATTGTTTTAGAAAAACTGTCACATGACCATAAACAAAAATGTATCAGTACTTGTAAGTACTCGGCAAGTACCAGTACTCGTACTGTCAAAACTGGTATATGTGCATCCCTTTATTTATATTTATAAAAACAAAATCGTACATTAAAACAGAGATGTACAAATCCCAGGAGCTCCGTGTGCTCCTTACAAATGACAGCTGCCTCCTAATTTTTGAATTTTTCTCTAGTGTAGTCTTGGTTTTTTCCCCCCGAAAAAAAGGTGCACTCTATGTTGGTGAAAACTATCTTCTTTGAACCTGTGAATAATATGGTTAGTCATGTAGAAAGGAAAAACAAAAAAACAGAATGAGAGAGATCTGCAGAGGCTTTTGTTTGGAAATCTTTACAATACAAATCTTCTGTAAAGATTTTAATTGATACAATATTAGGTGTGACAAAAAAAATCGGTTTTCAATACATGATCTGTATACGGTAGATTTGTAATATGAATATTCTTTCTAAACTGGCCCATTTTCAGATTTATCCCATTTGGGACTTTTTCCTTTCTACCATCACTTCTGTTGATAACTCTAATGCCACCAATCTAGTGGTATCCACGCTTGGATTACTCTAGCATTCACAACGGCTTACCGTTGCCGAATTCTCCACAGGTTATATATAAAGTTGCAAACCATTCATTTGGTTTATAACTACCAGATGTAAGTAGAGGTATACATCAATATTGTTATCTCCATATGCTGCTTTGAGAACTATAGACTTAAACTAGAAATGTATAAGGGGCTCTCCTGGCATCTCTCCATCTCTCCAGGTTTTTTGAAAGTTTCTTCTACAAGCTGTGAAATTTTTTAATTGATAAGTATAGAAATCATTCTAATTTGCTGAAACAAAATATTGAAAAAAATGCATACCAAAACCTCATCCTAACTATAAGGCAAGGATACGCTAGTTTAGGCCAGCTTGCTGTCTCAGGTCCTGTACAACTTAGACTTGGAATACAAGGCCTATGTGGCCATTCGGGAGCAGAATCTTTGGGATTTTTACCTATGATTTAAAACTTGGTAAAGGACATGCAAAGTGACAGTGATCCAGAACACAGAAGCAGAACCGAAAAGAACAGATACAACAATCTGCATTTTAGAATAGCAAAATCTGAACTTTGTTATACATTTCATCAAAACACTGTGGTATAATCCAAAGTAGGATGATAAAGTGATAGACAAGGTATATGCAAACTTTAACAGTTCTACATTCTAGAATGGACCAAATGCCTTCCAACTGCTGTTCATAGTTCATCTGTATCTACAGAAAGTGTTTGGTTAAAATGATCGGCAATGAAGGACACCGCCATCTTCTCTGGCCCAAAAGCTCATTTAAAATGGTTTGTCACATAGTTGAAAACTGTTCTGTGGTCAGACGAATCGAAATTTGACATTCTTTTTGGCAAACATGGGAGCCACACGGGTATATCCACCGCAAGGCAAAGAAGGCATTTGCCTTGGGCGGCAATTTCCAGGGGGGGTGTCCAAAAATGCCACCCCGAAAACAGTAATGCAAACCGTGTTACACAGAATTAGGCAGCCTCTGTAGGAAAAGGAAGGAAAGTAGTGGGGAGTAGTGAAAGAAGGGGGGAGTGGGGGCACAGCGCTGGTCAGGAGGCGGGGGAGACTGGGGGAACCATGCCCTGAACGCATTGGATAGAGTGAACAAGCCCTGAATCAGATTTTGTGGAACATTTATCTGTTTTTATAATTTCATCTAACCAGCACAATACTATTATTATATAAAATAAATTGCACCTCTCCCCTCCTGCCTACGTCTATCAGCCTCCAGGTCTCTGGACAGGCTGCACTCTCTATCTAGCTATCAATCTGCCGCGCTGGGGCAGATTGATATCTGTTTGCTGCACTGTGGAGAACAGTGCAGTCGGAACTTTAACTTATTGGGAGCCGCTGTTCTTGATATTACTGGGGTAGTGAGGGGGCTGCTTCACTACACAAGGAAGCTCTGGCTCCCTGCTGAATGGGGGGAGGGGGAAGAGAGCTTAAGGACACCGTGACCCACTGGAGAAGGGGTTGCGACCCACTTTTGGGTTGCAACCCATTAGTGGAGAAACAGGGCTCTATACAGTATTACTTTCATTAGCACAAATATTCACACTCGGATGATCCAAGCTTATGATGGGGAAAACCTAATTCTTCAGTTTATTGGATTGTGCCTTCACAGCCAGCTGCTTTCTAATGTCAATGGACAGCCTAAGATGAAAGTAACCTGGGTAATTACAATTGTGAGTTTTTAACACAGCAATTAATAGCTACTAAAAACAGATCATTACTGAAAATTTAGCACATGGAAATTTTGAACTAAGAGCTTTACACTATTATTATATTTTGAATCTCTATGTACACTGCTGCTTTTACAGCTGTTTTTGTGTCAGATATTTTAAGAAATAAGCATAACATTTAAAAGATGACAGGTTGACCACAGATGTTACATAATGCATAGTAATAAATAGGGGGATATTTCCTAATTTGTATCAGGTCGGTTAATTAAGAATTGAGTTCTGTCCTGCGGACAGGAAAGCAGCACCAGATCTCTGTAGCCTTGGCATCTGGAAATGTAATATTTAGAAATGAGAATGCCTGCCAGCTGTAACATGTGCTCTCTGTATAGTATAATAAGGTTATATTTACAGTAAAGCTTGGCTTTTGTTAAGAAGAATAAAAAAAATCATCTGTAGGTGACCCAGTATTTCACAAAAATAGTTGACTGATTCTTCCCATTCTCTGTTCTGAATTAATTGCTGTTTTCCCTTACTATGTCCTTTTTAAAACTAATTTTGGATTGAGTACGTTCATTATAATCCCCAATGTACAAAATGTACAAAACTGCAGTGTCTGCATTTCTTTTGGTGAGGCTAAAACATAGAAAGCATGTCACCAAAAAAGAAACTCTTATTGCAGGATATGCCTGCAATTTCAATCTTGAATTGTATCTCAGTGCAGTTTTCTGAGTTAGACAATCACAGAAGCAGGGAATTAGATTTTAGGGAGGATTCTGTACCTGTACAAAGTTCAAAAAGTTCCCAGGCTATTATACTGCAAGGATTTGATTTGTTGAGGCTACATATTTAAATGTGTACGTAGTTTTAATGGCATGTTTAGCAATTTAATCTATTAGTTGTTTGTTTTGTTGTTTTTTTGTGTGTGAAAGTTGAGTTTTCCTTCAATTCTTTTCTAGTGTGCCGTAAATGTAATTTGTGCCCAAATACATTTCATACATTTCATAAAATAATCAAAAATCTTTGTAGTATAGCTAATGTATATAATTACACTTATTATTTTGTGCTTACTTAGGTCCAACTGCTGAAGATAACAGGGCTGTGTGTCCACAATTTCATTTCATGCCTCGTTTTGTGAGATTTTTGCCAGGTAAGTTCTTTGCAATTATTATATCATATCCTATTCCTTCTGTCTGATCCTATATAATGAGTTAATTCCACTTTAATTTTTTCACTCTGGGATTCTGCCTCCGGTCTTAAATTTATCTGAACAGAGCATGCCCTACCAGCAATATCCAACCTCTGGCACACACATTAGTCTTTGCGCAGTGAGACTGTTGTCATACGGTCCGCACTTTTTTCCTGCATACACTGCCCACCATTATACCCCCTGAACCTCTCTTCCTGCACATACTACCCCCTTCTTTAGCATTGCTTGTTATATTCCCACCTTGCCTATTCTGGAACAGACATATTTTTCTAGTTCGTTGTGAAGGAAGGAACCAATTGTACATTTTTCAATAATGTATGGTATGTTGCTTGCAATTTAAAACTGAGCATCTGCTGTCATACAGGGATTGTACTACCTGTAAACTCAGGTCTTTTTTGCACAAAAAAAGTAGCCATGAATGGTGCCTTATTCACTGCTCTGCTCTATGGGAGACCTACGACCTACATCCATTATATTTCTGATGAAGCTTTCTAAGGTCCACTTATACTACTAGTGCTGACTTCTCTATGTCCAGACGTGCTGTGCTTGCTACATCCTGACTGTTGACTGCCTTTCAGTGAAGGTCAGAGATTATTAATATCTATGGTGACAGCAGCTGTCTGTGCTGCTCGTCATTGACATGCTTGCCAATTTACACTAACCCCACTGGTCAAGGTAGACATTGCATGTGTTTACTGGAAGTATAGTGTGTTGGGTTTCATATTTTGAAGGCAATCAGTCAAGAATGAACATTTACAGAATGAATGAACATCTTTGAAAATTACATTATCAAAGAACTAAAAACCCATACAGAGGCTGTATCATATATTTCCTCAACTCAGTGCTGAAAATAGAATCTTTCCAGGCTATCAGTTAAGCTACAGTATATGGCTATGAATAAAATGTTTAGTATTTAATTGCATGTAATCCTGATAGCACCATTGTTAACTGATAACTGATTTATCAGCAGGTATCTTATGTAGGCTTTCAGTCCAACACTGGGCCTACACTTCTGCTTTGAGAGGGAGAGAAAACAAGTAAATAAAAGGACATGCAGCTATTTTTTTGGGAAGGCTGCACTAGCACATTAGGAGTAGACATACTGATTATTACAAATTACTTTATTTAGAAATGTATGTTTCACAGATCGTAACACTGGTAGTGTATTTGCATAACCTTTTGTAGAACTGTTTCCAGTCAGTAATTGCTGCTTTTTTTGGTAGTTTTGCTGAAGGAAATTACTACCCAATGTAAATGCTTTTAGCTGTCTAAATTTACCTCTTAAGTCTACCCATACTGTTGCTCTGGTATATATATTGTTGTACAGACATATCAATTTTTCTGTAAAGTCAGAGATAATAAATCACATTCCATGACTTGTTGGACTCTAATTACAACTGCATAAATATATCTGTCTTACAGAATGTTGGAATATAGGGGATAACAACATATTCTTGTACTGCCTAGCACCAAACTTACTTGCACCAGGACCATTTTCAATAATAGGAGTATGGTTTAGTTAACTATTGCAAGAGGCTTATATAGGTAATCGTTAACTAGATTGCTATATACAGTATCTGTGCAGATCCTTGTTTCTTCTGCTATTTTTCTGTCTGATCAGTATTTTGAGTTATTTTACCAGATGAAGTCAGATTCAGGTGCTTTCATGAAATCTTTTGCGCATGCACAAATATAAGCTGCACTGAGAGACAAAAATTGGTGGTCAATATGACAGGGCCACGAGAGTGTATTTTTAATTCCTCAGAGAACAGAAATTATGTAGTGGTTGACTGATTTAGGTCATATTTATCTTAGCAGGGTAAGTTAAAGGCACAGTATAGAAGAATATTTAGGCTAAACGTTCCTGAAGAAATATGTATTCAGGCCACTTCTAATACTTTGAAGGTTAGGTGTCAACTTGACTTCATAGGGCAGGTTTTTTTTAAACGTTTAGATTTAGAACAGGGGAAGCTATACAGGAAGGAGATTGACAGGATAAGACACACGGGGAGGCGCCCACGTAGGCTGGCATACCAACATATAAGACAATAAAAACTGCTAGCAAAATAATGCAGAAAAGCAAATAGGCTTCTGCTTTGGATCCATTTGGAATGATGTGATAAGTATATTTTTATTATTTTATTTATTTATTTTTTTACAAATCTGTTAATACAGTTAACAGCTGGTCAGAATCTAATGTGTCATTAAAAGGCTTGCCATTACATAAACGTGAATTGTCCTATGTATGGGGGTGTGCTTCATTTGTGTTTGAATAGTGTACGTCACCACAATTTTTGGTGCATGGGTTGCTACAAAATAGTTTCTTCAAAAGAATGAGACCTGTGCTGACCTTTTACTTGTTTGTACATCACAGGACATGGAGAGTGAAATCCTTTAACTGCCGGGTTATGTAGCTACAGTACATGCAGTTGATTGGACACTGGCAAATCAATCAAAGATGTAGGACAGCTCTGCATAACCCTTCCCATTCCTAGCTTGCCTTGTTTTTTCCTAGCGTCCTTAGATGATATGGATGCCTTCTCTCAGCTCTGTAAGAAAAACAACTTATTTGCACTATTTTTTTTACAAAACTCTTCTAGCAAGTTTCCCTACATGCTGCTCTAAGCCACCACAGCACCTCCAGCATCTATCTGAATCTGTTTTCTCCTCTGCAAAGCCTTGGTGGATCGTACCCAGACCCTGACAAACAGAACACATGGAGCTGGCCTATAATGTGCTTAGTCAGTGGACCATGCATTTGGCACCCACCTTGCAGTTGTGCAACATTTGGAGTAGCTTCTGGGTGCTTCACACATCCTGAGCTGTGGTACATCTAGGTGGAGCCCTGACCATACCTAGGGAGGTATGGCCACATGCCGCCCAGGTGGTAGCCACAGTTTCCTTAAGGGTTAAATCTGTAACTCTGGTAGAACTTTTGTGTTGTACTTTTAGTGGCTTTTTCAGCTTCACATTTTGAATTTGGGCCCAGTTTCTGTTTCTTTTTGAGGCCTAGGGAGTGTGAACAAAGCCTGTGCAGCTTTACTTCCAGGTAGCTTTTTGTTCATATATAATTTTCTCTCTCTGGTGCTCTTTTCCATATATTTATCTGATACTAGTTCTTATTGTGACTCTGTATTTTTGCAACATAGACATTGTAATATAGTAAAAGTAAACCCAGTGACCTTTACGCTGATACCAGATGCGCAATTCTGCTGCAAGAGATAAATTGCCAACAGCAGGCTGCCTATTTGTCCCTATGGAATCGCTTCCTTATAGCCAGATGCAGCAAGATGTTACTCGTTTGCTACCGATGCAAGCAGCATCTCGCTACCACAGCTATAAGAGCAGCGATTCCTTAGGAACAAACAGGCAGCCTGTTAGCGATCGTGCTGGCGGTATTGCCATATCAACAGCGACAGGATCGTTAAAGACAGTCACCTATCTGACATCTGCCTTAGTTGAATATTTAGAAGAAAATCCACGCTTCCAGCGCTCAGTAGACTAGGCCTGTATTCTCGTCCATCAGTTACACAATAAAGGAGAGGCTGCGGCCCTCAAGGCTACTGGGAAATATCCTCTTGAAACATGCAAAAGAGCATAAAAGACAGTGCCTTCTCCTCGTGTAATATTTTGTTTATTTTAAAAATAATGTGAAGGGATGAAAACTACTCACATTTTGCAAAATAGCAATAAGCAATGTATAGACAATACAGGGAGGGCAAAACATTTAACAGGGGGAAAAAGCCAACTCAACTCCTACAATAGTGCAGCCAATGAGAAAATGTGTCCTACTTGAGTAGAACAGCCATGGCGTCCTCTGTTCTGTCTGCGTAATCAGCCATCAATGGCGTCTGTTTTTTAACACCATTTCTCCAATCAAAATTGCTGCTTGTTTTACTTTTATGTTCTTTTGCTTATTTGAATATTTTACTAAACATAATGAAAAGGAAAAACAATTTATTGAAGTCACAATCAGTTTCCTCCCCCTCTTCAAATGATCCCTGTCCATCCTCCATTATTGCATTGGCTAATCTACCCTGCCTCTAATGGTTAATATATAAATATCTGAATTTAATATGAAAAAAGCAAATATCTAAAAATGTGAATTGTCACATAAAAAGTAACACTGCAAAAGTTAGTAATTTGTTACATTAGTTTCTACTTGCCTCCTTGTATTCCTTGTATTAGTACACCTGTTGAAGAATCAATGAAAAACAGATGCTGTTCAACAACAATTTAGATTCTTGATAACATTTCCAGAACACCAAGCCTAAATTCATAACACACATCAGAAAAAAACAACACAAGTTAGTACTCTTTTTACAGAAACTTTAGCAAATACATGTTTCCTTATGCAGTTTCAAATGCCTTTTCAAAACTGTCATTAGGGCCTTTTAATCGGTCTTGTCGGTAGTTCTTCACTCTTCTTGCATCAAAGTGTTTGTTTGAAAGCTATAATGGAATATTTTTTCTGTACTTACCTGATGCAGCATTCAATTTAATCTTGTAGAGCTGTTACACAAGTATTTGTAATACTGACCCATGTTCCTGTACTTATTTTATAATTTTGTTCCTTTAGAATTAAAAGGATCACTCGAGTAAGGTAATATTTCAGCCTTTGAAATTTTCTCTTGGTCACAGTGTTACAACAGCATCTAATGCAATAAACCTTAAAATATCACTAGCTTTGTAAAGGATTCTGTGGTAATGTCATAGAATGTCACAGTCGTCACAGTGAAAGGCTAAGGAACACTACTACAAAGACTAGCGGTTTTCCTAGTTTGGAAGCATGTGCTCTTATTTCTTTCTATATTCTTTACAGAAGATTTCATGCTTAAAGCAAACCTATCATTAAGGTCAGAAAAACATACAAAACTAATGAAAAGTACACTTATATAACTGTGAGATCTAGCATCAAATGGAGAGCTTTTCAATGACTC